AGAGAGATGTATGTTTATTAATAGCTTTACAAGTTTCTTTGGCTCCAGTTGTTTGTTTGTTTGTTTAAAAAAAAAAAAAATTGGAGTCGAGGGATAACATTTTTATATTGTGCCTTGCTAGCTAATTCAAGCCTAGAAGTAACCTCTTTTTCCAGCTTCTTGTAGCTGAGTCTTTCTGTAGATGCCAGCTAAGAAACATCTTCATTTAGCTCAAGTTTTTGGACTTGTAGAAGCAAATTTCTAGTCCTAGCTAGTCCCCTGTTTATGGCTCTTCGATGGACAGAGTAGTTGTTGTAAAGTAGAACATAGAGAGGGAGGGTAATTTTATTTCTTATGTAATGAGAACACAAATTTGTTTGAAAAGCTGTTTTATAAGCGTAAACCTTACATCTAGATTGTTTAAGGTATAGTTCTTAAACAGCTCTTTTCGAAAAGTATTTGTATACCTGTTGCTTTGTATTCCTTAAGCTTTCTAGTGGGGAAAAAGAGTTACATGAAAGTATTTCAATGTGGTAATAAATCTTGAGAAACCCTATGGGAAATTGAGAGATGAAGTCCACCAGCCATGAAGCCAGAAGATATTAAAAAGTAACAGCGTGTTGTAATGAGTAATTCCTCCAGTAATCACTGATCTACCTTATATGATGTAACATGAGCAAAAAGAAACTCCCCCTTCATACATGGCAGATGTAGGGTCTTTGCTGTGTTTGCCAAATTTACAGATTAAATTCAGGGCCAGAATTGAAAGGCAGTGAATCCTTTAATGATCCCATGATGATTTTCAAATTATTAGTCAATGGTCTGAACATAAGGAGTTCTCAAATTCAACAATCCTGTTCTTCAGCTTCTTCGGCACTCTGAGGGTCTACACCTTTAACAGAGATGCTAATATGATAATTTATTGAAGAAAAGACTCCTCTCAGAGTCCGGTAACTCTTAAACTACCACTTCCCTTGAAAGTAATAAATAAATTTATAAAATAGATGTCTTGGGGAAAAACAAGGAGGAGACATGTGGAAGGGGATATTGTTGGGGTCATGGCTGGAGACACACTCACAGAAGGAGGTGGTCCATGTTGAAGGAGGTACTGCTTTGAGAGGACTGCAGCTGTGGGTGGCCCATGCTGCGATAGAGAAACCTGCAAGGGACTGTGGCTGTGGGTAACACATGCTAGGATGGGAACATGCTGGGATGGGCTGTCAAAACCCTGAGCTGAAGCAGGGGAAGAAGATTAAGAAGCAGTGAGCAGAGGAGTGGAACCAGGGTGTACCAGAAAGAACCCATTGCTCACATGCCCAACCTCCTGCTCCACTTGTTGCCTCACCAAAGGAATTAGGCCAGACTGAGTATAACCTGCAGCAAAAATTAGGGAAATTAAGACTAGGAAGGGGACAAGGTAAGTGTTTGATTTAAACTGGTCTGGGGAAGGGGGAGGAAAGGTGTTTGCTCAAGTGTGGTTTTGTTTTCTTTTTTTCTCAGTAGCCCAAACAGTGATTTGAAGTTTGTGTAAATTCACAATAAATTAAAATAAGTAAAAATTACACCACCGCTCTAAGACTGTTCGCCTCTTACAATCCATAATATAACATTTTTCCATGACCTGTAGAGCCTATTGTGTCATCTATCTTGCTCAAATAAAAGACTTTGTTTCATGTGTAACTGAAAGCTGGCTGAGACATGCATCTGTGATTGGCCTGAGGCTAAAGATAGGTTTTCTTGCATTTGTTATTGTCTTGCAAAAAAATACTTAAATTTCATTTGGCTGTTAGCCCCAAAAAATCTGTATCTTTTGCTCTGTTTAAAAGCTGATAAAATGTGAAAAACTAAAAGGAAGCTTTCTTTCTGTAGTCTGATGATCCAAGATTCACACTGTAAGAACACAATGATGGGCAGAGAACTGGGTGGGAAGAGTTATTTTATAATTTTAGTCTTTCTGTGTGTGAAGAAGACGGAAGAAATCGGGGAAATGAAAAAAAAATCTTTGAAAACCTTATTTCTTCCCTACAGTTCTCAGCTGAATTTTTGTATGGGTAGTATTTTAAACAACAACAAAAACAAAAAAACCCCCAAACACCAACACCCCCTTCTTCCCCCAGTGCATCAGGTTTACATTGTATTGCAGGGGAAGCATACTGAACTGGGATTCTCACTGTTTTCTGATCTTTTCTGCTTGGCAAGCAGTTTTTTGTAGCCTCATCCATCTAAAGTCATTGTTTTATTTCCTATTTATTTTGTCAATCCACTTGTTTCAGGAGATTATAAGGGTTTTTTTTCATATAAGTAGCTCGACTGTTGCACTTCTGAGATTAACATACTTATGAAGCTGTCCTATATTCAGCATTTGTGAAGAAAAATAACCTTTGAGAAGTTCCTAAGTCCTTACTAAGCTAAAAAGAGTTAAGGGAGGTCATATAACTTGGTCTGCATCAGTTGATAGATACAAGTTAAAAGTAAGTTTTAAAAATAAGCTTTACTTTTAATTATGGCTTTATCTTTGGGCATAATACTGCTCCTCAACATGGTATAGTTTCATGCATCTCTTTCTTTTATGCCAAGGCTGTGTTTAGACTTATCATGTCATTCTGTATTATAATGTACATATATGAGTTGGTATTGAATTTATTGCAGATTGATGATATAGTTTTTGAAGTGTTTCATTAAAAAGGTTCTTTCAACAGGTAAGATTTTGGTACCGGTTATCTCAGGATTCCCAGCTTTCTGTCTTTAAGAGAACTGCATTGGGTGGAAGTTTGGAAAAATTGCATGACATTTCAGGATTGCCTAAGATGCAGTGGACAAAAGTGAATATACCTGTAGAAAGTGCAGCTGAGGACTTACCTTTTCAGGTAATTAGAAATTACATTTATATTGCTTTCAAAAAGTTACTCTAATCTTGCCTTTAGAATTAATTTACTTTTTTAAAGAAATATAAAAAGAGAACTTCTATTCTTTAGTGCTCATATATAAAAAAAAAAAAATTCCATCCAGCTCTTTCAACAGATGTAGTTATTAAAGAACATCACCATTGTTTCAGTATTGTATACATTAGAATAACCTTTTTTGTAATAAAAATCAAGTACTAATAGTGCAGTAGCTTTTAGAAAATGAACTTGCTATTAAAACTTGCTATTAAATCAGAGTGAGAACCTAATTATGTCGGGTAAAGGCAGGAGAAGTGCAGGTATTTCTGTTTGCAGCAATGATCAACAGAAACAATTTACATAATCTCAGGCTGCTACACGTCACTAAAACATAGAAAGAAACTGTTAGAAAAACCGGAAGGTCAAATATAAGTATTCAGCAAACCAAAATTCCAATTCTGGTCTCTTCATTTTGTCTCATCTATAAAATAGTTTTAAAGAAAGAGCGCTCAGTTCTCACTATTGGTGAGCTATGACTGAACTTTACTTCCTTTTATGATCTTCTGAATATTTCCTTATATTTACAAATGCATCCTTACAATCCCTACATTTACTGTACCACTTTGTTGACTTCAGCTGGCATAGTATAGATGAACACAGTTAAATGGAGTTGTAAATCATCATATTTGGTAACCCTGAATAGCTCATTTTAAAAGGAAGACTGTTCATTAGAGTGATGGCTTTTACCAGTTTAGTTTGAAACAAGGTCATATGGGTTGCATAGTTTTCTATAAGTAAAGGTAGTTATGGCTTTAATAGTTGAGCAAATTTCTGATTTTGATCAAATCTCAATTGTATTATTTGATGGATGATATTCAGAGTTGACTGTAGGCAGTATTTACTTCCTGAGCAGATGTAATAAGTTACAAAATGTGTCTTTCTATCATGCCACCTTTAAAAAGCTAATTTATTTTTTTGTCTTTACAGATTATTTTACGAGCTACCATTCTTACAACAAATGCTACTGTTGCTGTTGATGACATCAGTATAACAGAGGAATGCAGAGCTGTGAATAAATCACTTCCGAGTGTCAGCCAAGAAAGTGAAGGCAAGTTCTGTCGTTTTCAGTACATTTTCCCCAGTGTCTACTATATATGATGGTGATTGGACTGACAACTGGAAGATACCATTAAGAAAGTATGGGATAATCTGAGGAAAATTCCATCTGCTGTAATCAATCATCTATAATGAAGACTCATCCTGTTACACACTAGCTGCTATAAGTAGTTTGCACTAGTTCTGTGAAGTAATCTATGGTGGGAATTTCCATATACAACTTACTACATATTACCTGCCCACATTCACACCTGGATGCAGAGTCAAATCATCGTTAGGGCAAGAGGGTGCTCCTATCCTTACTGTCAAATGCCTATCATATAGTGTGTGCCCAAGTGTATACCTGCACTCTGTAATCTTGAAGTGCAAATGGATGGAAATATAAAATAACTGTAACCTTCTGTCAAACTGCTGCTTCTGGTCCTCTTGAATGTCAGTGACTACTTTTCTAAAATGGCATGGGCACCATGCACACAGTGGTAATACTGATGTGTTATACCCAGCACGTATCTGAATTTCTTTACTGGAAAATTTAAAAGCATAAGAGAAAACTTCAGTTTTGATTTAAGACTTCTCTGATCCCTATATACAGTTTGATTGATGGTAGCTAGATATTTGAAGAAAAATTAATTTTCTTTAATTATTTTTCCCTATAACTTATCTATTTACCCATCCATCAGCCATGAAGATATTACTTTTAAAAGGGAGGGCTTTTTAAAAAAAAAGATTTGTCTGGAGAACAGTACGAGTATAGAAATAAGCTAAGTTAAACATAAAAGTTAAAAGCTGCATGTTGTTCCTCTCACTTGTGCACTTTCCAGAAACCTACTAAAGGAAATAACAGTAGTCCTTGGCTTTTTGTTTCCCTGTTCATTGAATTTTGGGTGTTTTCTAATGTGTAGTTTGAAGTACAAGCTAGTAGCAATACAACATCAAATTCATGGCTTCTCAGAATTTTTGTTGTGAACTGAACACAGAGAAACCACTGCAACGGCAGAGTTTTTGTGAAGGACCTGCACCTGACTGTGGGGCAAATGGCTAGTTGCTGTACACAGCACCTCGCCTCTGAACTGAAGCCTGGCCATGTAACTTTGAGGGAATTTTAATTATTTTTGACACAAATGTTTGAATATTGTGGAGAATAATATATAGTTTAAAAGCATCAGACATTAATATCAGCTGCGTTTCTTGTCAGTGGTGGTATAATCTAGTTCATTTCATAGGTGATACTCTGTTCCATATGCCATGTACATTACTATGTTCAAAGAAGACAAAAAGTACTTGTTAGAATTTTATATATATGTGGTTTTATTTATATGTTCCTTTCTGATTTTTAAGGGGAAGTAGAATTTGCAGATGCCAATGCTTCATCTTTTTACTGTCCACTGGGACTCTTTTCATGTGAGGATGGACAATGCATTTCATCTGACAAATTTTGTGATTTTACACCTGACTGTTCAAATAACCATGATGAAGCTAAGTGCCGTAAGTTAAAATTTAAAAAATGTAGGTTGTTAGGCTCCTGTGACTATATTAGTTTGTTCTATTTGCCAAGCTTTCATGACTTCATAGCTGTAATTTAATTAACACTAAAAGCTCTTGAGAAATAGTTACTTCATTTTGATTTCATTCTGAATTTTTTTCCCTTTTATTTTCTGTAGCGACTACTTGCCCCTTAGCATTAAAACCAGAAAAAATGTTTTTGATTAATTATTTAGTAGAAAGTGTTGCTTAAAAATGCAGCATTTTATTTTATAACTCTTAAGATACAAAATATCAGGTACAGTGTTATACTGAATAAAATCTTAATCTGTAAGATATTGGAAACTGATTCAGGAAGCCATTCTAAACTAAACCAAACAGAATTTGTGCACATACTTTCCGACACATGTTCTCACACATGCAAAATTACACTAAAAAAAAAATGTGATGAAGATATATTACACTTGTACAAATTTGGAAATTTTGTGGCCCCACTGTGTAAGGTGCCTCTTCTTAAAGTGTAGATGGTCCTGCAATTAGACTTGAGAAGCAGTGACACAGAAAACATTAAAAATGCAGTGGTTGCACACTCATGTTCAAATTGTATGTTTTGTATACTTAAGATACCACAGCTGGACTGGTAAATAAAGCATCTGTACATAGACATGGTCAAATATATAATTTAGGCTGTGTCAATGTTTTCTGTTCGGATGTGCTGTGACTCCTGCCTGGGATACCTGCCTGGGTTTTCTCTGCATGGAAACTAACGTATAGGAAATTAGAGGGATGCAGTGCATCTGGAAGTCCCTCTGCAGTGAACAGTCAGAAGAGATCTTGGAAATGCTTCAGGGCCTCTAATACGTAGCTTCAAAAATCTTTTTGATTCATTCAATTGACTGTTCTGCATAAGAAATCATGGCTACCCTTTCCTTCTTTGAAAATGAGTCGTTTGCTTTTGCGTTGAACTTTCAATTATGCTATAAAAGCTGTATGCATTTTCAAAAGGAGTTGCCAATATTCAGGTTTTGTTTGTTTGTTTGTTTTGAATAGAATATGGTCATTTCTAGCATTCTCACAAATAACAGAAATATTGCAGAGAAGGTCCTTACATTATTTTCTGACTGTGCTGTGTTATGCATCACAAAGTATAAACTTCTTCATGGTGCTAATGCAACGCAAAATCCATACGTATATTTTACATTTTTTTGTTAGGAAATTTGAGAGTTGTTGCTCACATGAATAAAAAATTATTTTACTTTTAGCAGATAAAATAAATAATTGAAGCTTCTATTTGTAATCATGCAATATCTCTAGAGTTTTAGTATCCAGTCTTTCTTGGCTAGAGCACTGCTATCCAGTGTTTTAGTTGTTTAGAAAGATTTATATCCAAAATATATAGCACCTTAAGTTAGGAAACTACATTCTCTTTAATTAGGTAACTTTTTGTTTAGCTAAAACCAGGAATATCTGTTAGATGTTCACTAGGCAGAATATATTTCCTCTTGTGAGCCAGACTGAAGATGGGGAAAAAGTTCTGCTGTTACAATAGAACAGCTGAGGTAGGAAGGGACCTCTGAAGACCATCCAATTCAACCTCCCTTCTTAAAGCACGATTCACCGGAGCAGAGTGCCCAGGACCTTACATAATTGGGTTCTGAATATCTCAAAGGATGGAGACTACACAACTGCTCAGGGTAGCCTGTTCCAGTGTTTGATCACCCTTACAGTACAACAACAATAACATCTAGCATCTATTGCTTCTGCCCATTTCACTGGGCACCACTGAGAAGAATTTTTACTTCTTTACTCCCTCCCTGCCCATGTTACTTATATTAAAATTCATATTACACACTATTCTTTTTTGATTTACTTTGTGTTTTTTTTACTTTACTTCAAAATGTGCCTAGACATTCTATATATTATTGGGTTATGATAGTCCGGATTGCTCTCCCATTGCCTTTAAACTCAGGTACTAGGATTTTGTTCTCTGACCAAATAGTAACACTTACAAGTCAATAGTGTAGCCCTCCCACTACCAAAACCTTGCCATGCAAACCCAGTAAAAATGCACAGTATAATTTCTAAGGTTTATATCCTGTGCACTTGGTGGAGTCTAAATACTCACTTTTCCACCTTTATAATTAAGATGATGGAATAGGGAATAAGATTAGACTGGAAAGTAATCTGGTAACACTAAGGTATTCCTGGTATTCTGTCTGACGTTTTGCAATTCATCCCTCATGCTCTGTCTTTTGTAGCTTGGGGTTTGTTTGTTTTGTTTTTTTTTTCCTGTCTACTTATGGTATGAATTATCAGGAATAATTATATGGTTTTATAGATAAAATAAATATGAAATAATTTACATTTGGATAAAAATATTTCACTCAGGCTCTACCAGCTTGCTCTATTCTTGTATCTTTGTTATCATTAGCATACTCGCTGAGATTCAGGAAATAAGGGATTTGATTTCTGGGTCCAACATAGATTCCCCTAAAGACCTTGCAGAAGGCTTGTTACTGCTTTGTGTGTTCTGTGTTCCTGTTTTGTAACATGAGAATTGCAAGGCCTGTTGTCAGTGCCTCCTCACCTGCTTTGTATGCTTTGGCTACAGTGCCCTGTGAGAGAAGGACTTGTTTTACTAAGTACATTGTATATAACAATGGCTTGGTTGTTCCTGTGGGACTGGTGTATTACTCAATGTTTATGAAACAAAAGCTCCTTTCCTATGCTTCTTCCTAGAATATCAGTAACGTATTAGAAACATTTTATTTCTTTTTCATACTGCCAAGCTTGTTTAGTAATGACATGCACAGAAATAAAGTGAAATGTCTCTTTCCCCATTTCAGCTGCTGCATGTGACTTTGAAAGAGAGAGCTGTGGTTGGTTTGAAACTGCAAATGCAGATGACTTTGACTGGGTAAGAAGTTCCAGCAGTGCTCTTGCTCCTGCTTTTCAGAAGCAAGCTCCTCCAAAGGATCACACCTACAACACATCTGAAGGTAATACAAACCAGGCTTAGAAACAGAGGAGTGGCATAGATATACCTGCTCTTTAATCAGGTTTAAAGTGGAGGCCATGAATGCTTTAAAAACCCTTTCTTTCTTCAACCTGAAAAGTTGTTCTCTGTTTTACTTTGATAGGTCATTTTATGTTCATTCTGAAAAACAGCAGCAGCATTTCACAAGTAGCTCGGCTACGAAGCCCAAAGTTCAGGCAAACTGGATCAAATTGCTCATTGTCCTTTTGGTATGTAACAATTTAGATTTAAAATTAATGGATCATCTCACATTGTTTCTCTTGGACTGAAATCAAGATTATAGTTTGCAACAGACACACCTTCCTCTGCAATATTAATTTATTTTCATTCTTTAATCATACACTCTTCATTGTAAAAAATACATAGAAATAAGCTGAAGCACTTGGAGAACAGAACTGAAATATGGGATGACTTTTTGTTATCAAGCTTTGAGCAAACTGGTATTAAGGGATTGTGTTTCCATATAGATAGACAAATACCACAGTAATTTTTTTGACATTTCTACTTTGGTTAAGTAAATTTGAAAATGATGTAGAATTTCATTCAAGAACAGGAAACCACCCAAAAATCTAGTAGCTCCTGGAGTCACCTACAGTATACAAGATTATATTGTATCATCTTTAAGCAAAACTTCCAGTGCAAGACTTGGAACTTTGCTTCCAATCCTTTCTTTATATACATGGAAAAAAAACAACCAACCAACCAAACAAAAAAAACCCTCTTTCAGTTATTGTCTTAGTCTTTGTGTAATCTTGTCAAAGAGGGACAGAAAAAAGTGAACTGTGATAATTTGTTAGTAAGTTCAGAAGTGGTGCTACTGTTTAAATAAATGTTTGGCCTGACTTTGATATTATTCAGTTTTTCTCAGTAATGTCAAATGCATTTGCCATAGGAAGAGGAAATATATTTTTATTGAAAATTCAAGACTTGAAGTTGGAGTATAGGTCTGGAAATTACAACCTGTTGATTCTATTTCTGGTTCTGTTTTGTTGTACAATTCCTCACTTAAGTATTTATGATTTTTTAAATGCTCTGAGATCCTCCAAAAATGCCATAAAAAGGCAGCATATTAACACTAACTAACATAAATGGAAGGTGTACTTTTACATTCAGTAAGTGTTCTGTTTTTCCTTCTTGAAAATTTACAATTATGCATCTAATTAAATTTATAAAATCATATGATACATCTGAGTGAGCAGTGTTCATTGCTTAATATAAAAGCAAACGTGTCTCTCAAATTGTGAGTTATAACTTAATGGAGTATGCTTATTTTCTCATAATCTTCAATTCTTGAAATGAGCCTGAAACTGATACAGTAGCCTACCCTATCATACAGAAAGTGGATTGAATTACAGGTAAACTGGAAATAGGCACTATGGACTTCCTATATTTCACAGAGCTATGATAGAAAAGTCATTATACTTGATGTGATCCATACTCATCATTTGCAACCTTAACTTTTTTTTTTAATCGTTTTAGGTATTACAATTATGGACAGTCAGTTGGAGCAGCAGAGATGCAGTTGCTTGTGGATGGGCTGAAACAGCCTACTGTCCTTTGGAGGGCATATTACAATGAGGGAAATCAATGGTTGAAGGCAGTCATTCAGCTTGGACGCCTTCCACATCCTTTCCAATTATCACTTGATAAAATCAGTCTGGGTTTTTATGACGGCGTCTCAGCAATTGATGATATTGCATTTGAAAATTGTGCTCTTCCACCTCCAGTGTTGAGTTGTGACAGTCCTAATCATTTCTGGTGCAGAGACACAAAAGCATGTATTGACAGTTTACTGGTCTGTGATCTTGTGGATAACTGTGGGGATGGATCAGATGAAGACAACTGTAGTAAGTACTTTCTCCATTATTGCTTACTTTATATCAAACCAATATTTACTTGCCAAATTCATTCTTGGAGAAAAAAAGCACAGTACTGTTACAGCCTATCAATGTCACAGCCAGTGATGATTCAACTGAGTAGTTACTTATGAAACACTCTGAAAATTTTTAACTTAAATGCATATGATGAGTTACAATTGAGGGTAAATGTAATTCATTCTCCTTTATTCAAACAAGTAATATTTCTTTAACTTTTGTAAAACACACACATGCCTTATGAGTTTATTTTAAAAGAGAGAATTCACAGTCTACCAGTTGATTTGGGTTAACGTGCTGTCTTTGATTACACTCATGGAAGTACAGTGGAGGACTTATGTGGACTGAGGGGAGTGTATATCTCTTTTTGTGACCTGGAACTCTTTCTGCCTAGAAAACATTAAAATATCTGTACTAGAATATATTAATCATGCTGGACATAATTGTCTCTTTTAAAGAAAGAACTTGTAAGAACTGAGGAAAGCTATGTGTTGTTCACACTTTGACAGTCACCTTGCAGTGCTGAAAGGTGCTGTTGATAATTTTCTCTCTAAAGCACGCATTCCTCAATTTTAAGAACTCAAGAACACTAATATAAAATAAAATTAACTAGCGGTTGCTTTATCACATCCTGAAGTAACTGAATTATGCATATCATAATGAGTCTGAGAAACAGAGGACACTTTACATGCTTGAGGGGATACAAGCCTACACTGATATTTGCTGCAAAAAAACTTAAAACTGATCTGAATTTAAAAGAAAGTGAAGGCTTTCCAGCCTATCTCAGTTTTCACACATGTAAAATGTCTGCCTTTACAACCCATTTTGAGGTCTATAGTAAGAAAGTACTATATGACTTGCAGTTTTAAACATCATAAAAATTAACAGCTTAATTTAAAAAAAAAAAAAATTGGCTATTATGTCAGTTACTGTTTGTGAAGACCAGATGCAAAGATGAAATGTAAGTTCTCCACCTTTGATAACAACTTTTCTTTTTTTACATTAGAAGTAATTAGTCTAATCAATATATTTTGCCTTGGTATTAAATAATAAAATGCATTGTGTTATAAATGCCTCTCTTGAATTTGTGTTTGATAAAGCTATCAAGCTACTACTACTGAGGATAATAAAAATCTAAAACACAACCCATTTTTAGGACTACTTCTTTCATGCAAAAATGTATTACGTCACTCATTACACATACCTACAAGACTATATCCTGTTGTTTATTTCATCCAGTTAACCTCAGTTTTAAATCCTTTACTCACCTAAATTTCAGTTACAGAACTTTGAATGCTTTAATTATAAATATATATAAATTTAATACTATGAATAATAAAATGTTCTCCACAGTTCTGTAAATTAATTATGTCCAAATTGCCGGATATATATTGAAAGAAGAGGTAATTAAGGAAAGATTATTTTTTTCTTTTGTCCAGGCAGTGTGTATTTATTCTTCAGAGGTGAATTTTTGCAAGGAGTTGAAGATGTGTTTTTATCAATATTAGAAATAAATTTTTGCAAGGAGGCAAAGATGATTTTTTTTTTTCATTACGTTAGAAAGTTAATGAAAGTATATTAAAGCACAGTCACCTTTTGATACTGCTTTCACTTGACAGTGTGTTCTGTTTACATTTCAGATCCTGACCTACAGTGTAACTTTGAAAATGGGCTGTGCAACTGGGAGCAGGATGTTGAGGATGACTTTGACTGGATCAGAATACAGGGTCCAACCCCCACGGTTAATACAGGCCCATTGAAGGATCACACGACAGGCACAGCCAGGGGACACTACATCTACATGGAATCCTCTGAGCCACACCAATTCCAAGATAAAGCAGTTTTGCTTAGTCCTCTCTTCAACCCTTCTGGCAATGGAACCTGCATCTTCCGCTTTCATTATCATATGTTTGGAAAGCAAGTTTACAAGCTGTCAGTCTTCCAGAGAACCATGAGTAACACAAAGGGATGGCTGTTGTGGTACAAGTTTGGAAATCAAGGCAACAGGTGGATCAGACAGACACTCCACATCAGCAGCGCTAAGCCATTTCAGGTATGATCCTTCTATGTTGCCAAGTGCTTATTTGCTGCCTCATAAAACACTTAGAACACGTAAAGGACTGTGCAATCTCAAAGCTATTTGTAACTGTCTGATCAAACTGACTTCGAAATACATTTGCAAGATTTTTTTAGGAAATATCTAGGATTTTTTTTTATTTTTTCTTGTGGAATTTACTTCCCCCCCTAAAACACATTATTATAATGCTTTGAATAGGATCATGAGGTATTTTAAGTAGATGCTATTTTTTTTTTTTTTCCAAGCATTTGGTGAAGCAAACTTATCTGAATCTGCTACAGGACAGCTGGGCAAAATTTTGATTCGTTCATGAAAAAAGGATTATTAAAAGGGATATTCTTCTCTATGCCGTACTTTTCCAGAGTTACATGTTAATCTTTCATTATATAATGTCAGAAAAAAAAAATGGTCCAAAATATTTGGGTGCAAGGCAACAGTCAAATATCATTTGGAGAAAGATATGATAATAGTAAATTACAGCTACAAATCTTGATTTATTTTCTCACCTTTTAAAAATTGTGTATGTTATTTACCTGGAAGGAGAGTGCTCATTTTTTTTTTGTCAAGACCCTTTGCCAAAATGTAAAATAGTATCAACATAATGCTAAAATGCTAACAAGACTTTTTTTTTGTCTGGTAGACCTCAGAATGTTAAATGTGACATCAGTGAGCAGAACAGGAATAGCTTGATAAGTGAAAAGGGAAATTTAGAGGTAATTTATTTAAATTAAAGAAAAGCAGTTCTCTGAGCCAAAAATTAAGCATTTCTAAATACTAACAGAGTCAAGTAACAAAACCAGTCCAAAATACACATATTTGCAAAATTTTTGCGGCTTTAGTGACCTAGATTTTCCCTTTTGAATTCAGAACTGCTGTAACACAGAAATCTGCTATGAATTTAATAATTAACAATAAATTATACTTTATAAAAAAATAAATTTCAGGATAAGAATATGTTCCCTTTCAAGATACTCCTTTTTACTATATGGGACACTTGTTTCAACATGAAAAAGAATAGGTTGTTCAGTGTACCTGTCTTTTTAGTTATCTACAGTTATTTTAATCTTCCTGAGAAGTTTACTTACATGACTTTTCCTTAAAAGAACATTTGAAAACGTAGTAAAATAACAATCCATCCATGGTAGCCTATTTATATTGATAATGAATAGTGTTTGATTTTATCTACCTTGAATAAGCATAATACCTGAAGTAGTTTCTCCTCAGAAGAAAGTACAAAGATTCTATTTTAATATCTTAGATAAATGTAGCTGTCTTAGCTTGCTCTATTCATTCAAATTTCTGTGGATACAGAAAAAGAAAATGATGATATTGTGTGAACAATGACAAAGTTCTGTATTTTAGTCCTTTTGGGCTGTGTAGTCTCCTTTTAATCATGATATAAATCACATATCTTCTGTGTCTGTCATATGATATCTAGGGCAACTTTACTATATTGCAAACCATATTATCCAATTCACTTTTTGCTCATCTGCAATATGTGTGTGTATCTCTGCAAAAAAAGATGGTTATGGATCTTTGATACCCCAAAGTATAAATAATACATACAGGAGTTCAATATTCTGTGATTATTTTATAATGCTCTGTCTAGATTTTTTTCAATTTGACTGTTAAGTAACTTGAAAATGCAACTCCACTGTTTAAGTATGCAATTGGTTATTAATGCTATACTGAGTACAATTACAAAAAATTTTAGTAGTTTGAGTATCATATATGAACCCTTACATTTCCCTTAAAATATAAAACTTTATCCCTTTAAATGTGAAAAACAAAAACAAGATGAGGAGAAAATAAATAATGGAAATTTATTGAAAATTACTAGCTTATGGAAGGAAGCTTATATGCAAAATAAAATTGCAATTATGTAGATATAAAATGCCTTTGCTATTTTCCTCTTTTATAAGTGGTTTAGAAAAGTAAACAACTAAATACACTTTAATAATTTTACTCTTATTATCAATTAGGTATTAGCTTAGAAGGTAATGGAATATTGATTTCTATGAATGTAGAATATCACTGTTTTACAAACACAAATACCAGCCAACCTTCTTTCTCCAGCTACTATTTTTAGTAACTGTTGTGCTATTTTTATGTTCTTCTCAGTGTAGAATCCAAAAAGTTTGTATTTTAAGGGCCTGATTGTGAAACATGTATGCCTGAGTATGTTGATAATGGGGCAAATTAGATTTCTCAAATTCCTGCACAGCACTTTAAACCAAGTATAATGATCTGGAATGTGACCAAACATGAAAAGACAGACAGCTGAAGCACAGTGGATCCTTTTCCCTTTGATTTTTACACTGCTATTTGTACCTTTGACAGTCTAACATGCTGTTTTCAGGTACAGTGGTTGCACCATTCATTGCTCATGAGTTAGAAAAAGAATTTTTTTTATATATGGAAGCTTTTTGTATATTCAGTTTGGGGAAAAAATACTTTTTGTCCTGAAAATGACCTCTGTTTTGTTAAAGTAAAATGTGACTTGTGTCCTTGCATTCTTCTGATGTTCTGAATGCCCCCGTCTTGTACTCAGGCTGAGTTATCAAAGCATAAGCACTGAGCAGTCCTATTTCAGACATTCTCACATGTTTGATGTTGGCATTTTAGTGTGGGTTGTAAATGTATCAAAAAGAATTAACTTAGTTGTCTCCTTTTGTTTAATTTGATTTTACATAGGATGATGTGAGTTAGAAGGTAGCATTTCTGCAAGGTAGAAATCATAGAATCATAGAATGGTTTGGGTTGGAAGGGACCTTAAAGACCACCTAGTTCTAACCCCCTTGCCATGAGCAGAGACACTTTCCACTAGAAATGTTCAATATGACTACAGCTGGGGGAAGGGAGGTTTGTTTCATTGGTTTTTTTTTTCTTGTTGTAAATCCTAGAACCCTTACAGATTCCCACATGCCATCTCCCTTTTAAGTTCCTCAGCAAATAGGATCTGAAGTTATAACCACCCAGTGCTGAACTGGGAGGCATTCTCTAATTAGAATCACTGAGCATCATGTCTAGATCAGATAGTGGAAAACATCTTTGAGGATCACTTACCCTTGTAGACATGAAGCAATGAAAGCCAGCCTTCAGGATTGCTTTGTTTTACTTTACTACATGGTATTCACTGAGTAAAGCATTACAAGCATCATCAGTCCCAACTTAGACAGGCACCTTGGAAATTTTACCCCTAACAGCTGTTGTCTGTTGAAGAGGAAGCTTTGGGTCACTACCAAAGAAATAGCTACTAAAATGAATATATTTCACAATACTTTGGATGAAAGAGAAAATTAGTTCTGAAATTGTTTTCTATGTTTGTCACAGCCCTAATAATGTATTATTTGTGATCTGTGACTATATCATCAAAGACAACATCAGTTGTATGGCCATTCAAATGGGAAGGGTGAGGTGTTAGTTGTAATAAATCCTCAAGTATACTTCCTGTATGGTGCTAAATCAAGAGCCATCTTTATTTTTTAGCAGCAGAATTTGTCTAAAGACAGATAAGAATCTAAAGGAAGTTTTCTTCATTTTTGAGACACTAGATTAAGGTGATTGTTTTGTCTTTTAATATATTAATTTAATTTTCACTTTTTATCTTTTCATTTCTATTATGGAGATATAGGGCATGTTATACATCTTCTTACAGTGATTTTCAAATTCAAAGGCAAATTATCTCACTCTGACCACATTTTAGTCTTAGTTACCCTTATCTTTTAGCCATGTAATTAGTTGTGGAGGCATATAGTTACAGCTGAGTTTCTAACCTTGATTATAGGACTGTGATAGGTTTTCCTTAAGTAAACCCAGCTACTTCTTGTATTATGGTTTTTGCATGCCGTTGACATAAGATTGGTTTGATGTCAAATACATGTGTAGTAAACATATATTATTTGCATCCAGACTCTTACTGTTCATCTGAAAAGAGAGACAGAAAGGCCTAAAAAATATATTTAAGGTACTACCAGGTAGCTGGTCACACTGATATAGGCAGTACCTACTTTCTCACTCTCTCCTCCTTCCCTTTTCATTCGTCAGTGAGATGAGATAGTGATTCTTCTTTGAAGATTCTGATAATCTGCTCTGTAACAAATGAAACAGAATCACAAAGATCACTCTTCAGTTATCTCTGCAATTCTAGGTGTTTCTTGTAGTTACTTTCCTGAGAAGAGAGCAGATTGATCAATACAGTACCCCCAGCCATTTCTGTAATAAAAAAAAAGAAGGTTCTAGAGAAAAATTGACCTTTTGGTATAATTCTGCTTTACAAACTATTTTTAAAGTAGTTTTGAGTTCTGTTTCAAACAAAAACCCTGTGCTATGGCAAATTGTGAAGTTTCAGAATATATTGTTTTTATTTCATGCATCTCTACTGGTGATAATTATATTACAAACATGATTAACATAGCAGGACTTGTTATAGTAGACTGAATACTCTTTATATTAATTTAAAAAAGGATAATGACTTGCTAGGCTTCATCATCAGCTATAATATCCTTGAAGTAAGAAAATTTCAAATTCCATTTCCTATATAACGAGCATCAGAACTATTGAAATCTCAGATTCTAGATCTTGTATCACATTTCACAACAACTCAGAGAGAAACTTTTGTGGGGTTTGTAATGTCAATATTTCCATAGATCAACTTCAATGTGGGAGTTTTGCTGTCTTCTCTAATCATTAACTGATAAGTGTCAGGTTGAAATTCTGGACTTGTACTGGTATAGTCCAAAGAATGGAGCTGACCAAACTTAGTCATAGTCTACTTCTTGCATGCAGCTTCACTGGAAGAGTGCACATGCTTTTATATTGTCCCAGAGAAGTACTATTTCCTACTGCAAAAACCAATGTGAGGAGACCATGTTCCAGCCTGTTACAGTTGCATAACAGCACATGCAGCTAGGACATATCCTTTCTACTCACAGTGTTGTTAGAAGGAAACTGCTTCTGAACAGTTTGTGCTCTTTCTTCTG